GGTTTTGTGAAAACTCAGCTGAATTCTACCAGAGGTACAAAGGGAAGCTGGTGTAAATTAGTTCAACCATTGTGGAAGACAGTGTGGCAATTCCTCAAGGCTCTAGAACTAGAAATTCCATTTGACCTAGTAATCCATTACTGGGTATATACCAAAAGGATTATAAATTATTCTATTGTAAAGACACATGCACACATATGTTTATTGTGGCACTGTTCACAATAGCAAAGACTTGGAACCAACCCAAACGCCCATCAATAATAGACTGGATAAAGAAAATGTGGCACATATACACTACACAGCCATAAAAAAGGATGAGTTCATGTCCTTTGTAGGGACATGGGTGAAGCTGGAAACCATCATTCTCAGCAAACTGACACAAGAACAGAAAACCAAATACCACATGTTCTCACTCATAAGTGGGGGTTGGGAAAGAGAAGACATGGACGCAGGGAGGGGAACATCACACACTGGGGCCTGTTGGGGTGGGTGAACAGGGGACGGGGTAGCAAGGGTTTGGGGGATAAGCGAGGGATAGCACAAAAAGAAAAAGAAAGGTTATGTGAAAACTAAAACATGATAAAAAACTAGAGTAGTGATAATACTTATCATTTAATTTTTTCCACTTTTGTTTATGTTTTGATCATGGAGAACATTAACATGCTTCCAAAAGACTAACTTATTTTGAGAAGTATATTCAAAAGAGGGCCTCTTCTTCCTCTTTTCTTGCTCTCTACCCCTTGATGGTAACTGTATCAGGCTGTTCTTGCGTTATTGTAAAGAATTACCTGAGGCTGGGTAATTCATAAGAAAAGAAGTTTAATTGGCTCATAATTCTGCAGGGTGTGCAGGAAGCATGGCACTGGCATTTCCTTTAGGAAGGTGTCAGGAAGCTTACAACTGTGGCAGAAGGCGAAGAGGGAGCAGGCATATCACATGGTGAAAACAGGAACAAGAGAGGCAGTATTGGGGGGGGTGATGCCACACACTGTTAAATGACCAGATCTTGCAAGGACTCACTCACTATCTCAAGGACAGCACCAAGATTCAATGACCTCCCACTGGGCCTTACTTCCAACATTGTGGATTATAATGCAACATGAGTTTTGTGTGGGGACAAATATATCAACTGTATCAGTAGCCTACTTACTTCATTAGTTTCTAGTTTTTCTTTTCTTTCTCTCCTTTTGCTAAAAAATGGGCCTCTCCCTTTGCCCAGGCTAGAGTGCAGTGGCACAATCACGACCCACTGCAGCCCTGACTTCCTGGGCTCAGGTGATTCTCCTGCCTCAGCTTCCTGAACAGCTGGAATGACAGGTGTGTGTCACCATGCTAATTTTTTTTTTTTTTGTATTTTTAGTAGAGACAGGCTTTTGTCATGTTGCCCAGTCTGGTCTCAAACTCCTGGGCTCAAGTGATCCACTTGCCTTGGCCTCCCAAAATGCTGGTATTACAGGCATGAACCTTGGTGCCCGGCCTCATTTCCTCTTTTTATTATACAGAAGATAGTAAGTACTATACGTACTGTTTTAACTTTGCCTTTTTCACTTAACAGTATATGCAGGAAGTTACTCTGCCTCAGTTGACAGAGCTATTCCTCATTCTTTTTTCACAGTTACATAGTACTCCATCATACATATGTACCATAGTCAATCAGTCTCCAGTTGTTGGACACTAAGGTTGTTTCCATTATGTTACAATGACAAATAATGCTGTAATGAATAATCCTCTGCATGTATATTTTTGTCTTGTTTGAGTTGTATCTTCAGGGTAGATTCCTAGAACTGCGATTACTGGGTCAAAGGGTAAAGACATTCCCCTACATGGTAGCTGTACCCTTCTGAATTCCCTCCAGCAGTGGATCAGTGCTGGTGTTCCTGCAGCTCACCCAGCAGAAGGAGTGGTCTAACTTTTGAATCTTAATGCTAATTTGATGGGAGAGAAGTGGTATCTCAGCGTAGGTTTGAGTTTCTCCTATTATGAAGTTAAACATGTTTTCTGTATTATAATTTGTCTTCATATTTTTGTCTTTTGTGACTTACCTGTTTTGTCTTTTATTCACTTACTTCTATAGGACTTTTCATCCTTTACCCTAAATTTAAAAAAGTTCTTTATATGTGTATACATGTATGTAATAACATATAAATACAAATTACGTAATGCTGGTATTAGCTATTTATCCATATGTTGCAAATACGTTATTTTAATTTATTTGTTTGGTAAGCCTTGCTTATAGTGTGTTTTGCCTTGGAACAGTTTAAAGACTTTTAAAAAACAGTCAAATGCATCAATTTTTTTAGTTTATTGCATGTGGTGCTTAGAAAGCCTTCCCCTACACCTATATTAGAGAGTAATGCCTAATGTTTGTTGAGAGCTTGCCATGTAAAAGGTACTTTACTGAGGACTTTTCTTCTTTTATCGTGTTTAATCACTGGAAGAGCTCTGTGATTTACTAGGAGACAGTGGCCTTGGAGCCAGTGAGACCTTGGCTAATTCCCAGCTTCACTCCTTGTGAGCCGTGTGACCTTGCACCTGGTGTCTGTATCCTTTGAGTTTCAGTCTCATTACCTGTAAAAAGGGGAATAATAATAGCATCTATGTCAGAGGGTTCTTGTGAGAATTACCTGAGGACTTTGAACAGTTCCTGACATCTAGTGACTGCTTAATCAAAGCTGGCTAATTATTATACATAAAGAATATAATCTAATGCTCCCTTCTTCAAATTAAGCAAAGTTCTGTCATCACTTTAAATGTTTATATTTCTTTTACTGTAAGTCTTAAATATCACCATGAAACAGAGTTTCTTGGGTATTTTTTCTTTACACATTTTGTTTTATTGTAACTTAGATACTCAGAGCTAAAGTTTCTTTTGGAAAGACTCAGGGAGAAAAGTTTGAGACTTGATGGTAAGAGCACATGAACTGTAATTTCAAACCATTAATGCTTATGTTTAGTTAGTCAAATATGAATATTATTTATACTTATGAATGCTTCTAAAATATGGTATTCATAAAGTCAAATTTGTTTATTACTAGAGTTTACTGGGGAATGATTTCAACATTTCACAAATGAATATAGTTGCCAGGCTTTGTCTTGGCTGTGCTGCAAAGCTCAGGCTGTGTCCCCTCACCTGCTAATAGTAGAACCCTGTAATTTTTGGAAGGCTTTTTGGCTATCACAGAGTCATTGATAATGCCTTGAGCTGGAAATGTTTCTGCTAATGCTTGCTTTTAAGTGATAAGTTATTGCTATCTTAACTTCATTTTTAGCAAGTTAGTTTACTGTGGGTTGTTTGGGGAATCCTTTAGTGTTTGGCTCACGAGTTCTCACACTGGTTTTTGAGATCTGTATGCATTGCTTTGCAAATATAAAACATCTGCTTTTTATTAGCAATCATTATTTGTAACTATTGGCAAATTTGACACATCTGCTTTTATTAATGCAGATACATGAGCCTTAACCCCCGCCCGAATTTACTTCTGTAATGCTACTTCATTGCCACCACTAAGTATATATATATATATATATATATATATATATATATATATATGTGTGTGTGTGTGTGTGTGTGTGTGTGTGTGTGTGTTAGTGGAAACGTGGAATTGGTGGGTAACTTAGATACTCAAATCTAAAGTTTATCACATGTAATCATTGGAAGAGCTCTGTTATTTACTAGGAGCCAGTGGCCTTGGAGCCAGTGAGACCTTGGCTAATTCCCAACTTCACTCCCTGTCAACTGTATGACCTTGTACCTGGTGTCTGTATCCTCTGAGTTTCAGTCTCATTATCTGTAAAAAAGAGAATAATAATAGCATCTATGTCAGATGTTATAGCATCTATGGCAGGCAAGTTGGTTTTTTGGTTTACCTCAGTTGGCCACGGCCAAAAAATTTAGAAGCGATTGTCTTAGCTTATGTAGCATTTCCTCCTTTCTATTACTGGTCTAAGAATAGAATATATTTTTATTTTCTGTTTTGGCCTTAAACTTTAATTAATGATACCCTACATAGTATTTTTCTTGTGAGCAAACAATTCTAGATGACTAAGCATTGAAACCATTAAGGTGAACTCTAGAGAGTTAAATAAAAAATCTGCCTTTAATTTGCTTGCTTTTGAATGGCTAGAAGTATCAATGCCATAGTGATCTTTTAATTTACTTTAATTTGGGATATCACTTTTTTTTTTTTGAGACGGAGTTTCGCTCTTGTTACCTAGGCTGGAGTGCAATGGCGCGATCTCAGCTCACCGCAACCTCTGCCTCCTGGGTTCAAGCAATTCTCCTGCCTCAACCTCCTGAGTAGCTGGGATTACAGGCACGCGCCACCATGCCCAGCTATTTTTTTGTATTTTTAGTAGAGACGGGGTTTCACCATGTTGACCAGGATGGTCTCAATCTCTTGACCTCGTGATCCACCCGCCTCGGCCTCCCAAAGTGCTGGGATTACAGGCTTGAGCCACCGTGCCCGGCCAGGGATATCACTTTTTTTTGAGACAGAATTTCACTCTTTTTGACTAGGCTGGAGTGCAATTGCACGATCTCAGCTCACTGCAACCTCTGCCTCTTAGGTTCAAGTGATTCTCCTGCCTCAGCCTCCTGAGTAGCTGGGATTACAGACATGGGCCACCATGCCTGGCTAATTTTTTGTATTTTTAGTAGAGATGGCATTTCACCATGTTGATCAGGCTGGTTTTGGACTCTTGACTTCAGGTAATCCACCTGCCTTGGCCTCCCAAAATGCTGGGATTACAGTTGTGAGCCACTGTGCCTGGCCGGGATAGCAAAGTTTTTTATTTTATACATTCTGCTTGAAAAGTCCCGGCATTTTAAAGTTTCAGCAGCACTTAAAATAGAAAGCACTCAATATTAGCTCTTGGTTTGATTTCTTTTTTCCCCCTCTCTCCCATATTTCCTCAACATGAAGTCATAATTAGAAACTTTCATCCATTGTAAGTTAATTGTTATTTTGATTTTGAGTATCTGTCCATTTTTGGGTCTTTAGGTTACCAGAGAGAACTTCTTTATCAGAGGGAAGATGGCTCTTTCAGTGCTTTTGGGAATGATGACCCTTCTGGGAGCACTTGGTAAGTGTCTTTGCCAACTGAACAAATCTGTGTCATGGAAATGGGCTTTCTCTAGGTCACAATAGCCATGAAATTGACAGATATATCTCTATATATTGTAGACTGGAAGGCTGCTTTTTTCCCTTAGTCTGGCTTTAAAAAGAAATTCTGTTTTTAAAGTATTATTTTTAAACATTAACAAATCAAATGTTTTTATTTAGAAAAGATAAGTTATAAATCCTCTTTTGTGTGTTTGTGGAAAAATCGCAATAAAAATACTTTATGACGATGGTGCAGCTGATAAAATCAGTTAGAAATGCTGGGTGATTGTGACACAGCTTTTTTTCTTAATCTTCCATAACTAATACAAGTGTTGTGTTAATGCAGCCAATGCAGTTTCTTTAAGATTTTTTTTTTTTTTTTTTTTGCGTGTGTGAAGAACAGTCGTGGAATTAAGTATGAACAGCCAGTTTCCTTCAGACTGGAATCTCAATGTGGCTGATTTTGGATGATTAATCTCTCTTCTTGTACCTATCTTTAATTTTCTATTTTACTCAGAAAAAGATTGACTCACTGTATCAATCAGGATAGAGTAGGAGTGCTGTGGTAACAACCAACCTGCTCAATCTAAGCAGTTCACAGTGGAGGGATTTCTTGCTCATGCCGCATTTCCATTGTGGTCAGCAGGGGGCTCTGCAGCTGCCAGTGTGTCCACATCTGAATAGGAGGGTCCCCGTTTTCCGCAGCCTGGAAAGAGGAGGCTGGAGTATATAGCACTGGCAATTAGAGTCTTTGTCCTGAGTGTGTCATTTCTATTCATTTTATCCTCCTCAGAGCTGGTCACATGACTATGCCTAACCTCAATGGGGCAGGAAAGTGAATTCTTCTGTGTAACCAAAGTAAAACAGAACTGGATGTTATTGAATATTAGTAATGTTTACCCCACAAAACCTTATATAACATGAAACGGATCTGCTTCAAATTTTCCTTTGGCCTGAGTCAGGATATAGAACCATAAATAGAAAGCTTTCAGTGTTTTATTGCTTGATGTTCTTTTTACCTCAGTATAGTGTTGTGTAGCAGGGACTGGCAAACTTTTCTGTAAAGGGTCAGAGTGTAAGTATTTCAGGCATTTCCAGCCACATAGTGTCTCTGTTGTGTGCTCTTCCCTTTTCCTGCCTCTCCTCCATCTTTCTTTCCCGTCTTTTTTTTTTTTTTTTTTTTTTTTTTTTTTCTTTTCTTTTTTTTTTTTTTTTTTTTCTTTTCTTTTCTTTATCCTTTTAAAAACCATTCTTAAGGTGGTGGTGTTGGCAGGTGGGGGCGGGGGTGGTGCCCGCATAAACAGGCCCTGGGGTATATTTGGCCTGAGGCCCACATCTGGGCCAGGCAGATTTGGCCCATAGGTCGCAGTTGGCCAACTCCTGTCCTATAGGAGAGAAAAATATCATTTCCCCCACTTGAAGTACTACAGTTTGCTTGTGAACTATGTATACATTCTTCATCCACAGCTATGGGGCTGAGTGAAGTGTGTTTGAGCTCTTCTTTGGTAAATATCTAGAACAACCCAAAGATGAATAACCTTGGACAATTTGTTTAACTCTCTTGGACTGTCAAATTCTCAGTCTGCAAAATAATGGGCTGGATTAAGTAATTTCTAAATTCCTTTCTAAATCTGCTATTTTTGAGTCAACATGGCATTTCTTGGTCACGCTCAAGTGGAAACGAGGTCTGCCTGCTAGAGAGAGTTGCTTACCTTGTCTGTTTACTGTTTCTCTTTCCTTTGTTCCATCTTCATTGATTCTCCCTTTGGTGAATCTTCTGATGGGGGAAAAAGTGTTGTTGTTTTGCTTGCTCAGTGTTATTTGGTGGACCTTATAAAGTATATTTTATGTGATTTTTCCCCCCTTTTCATAAAGGTTGTCAGCTTTTGTTTTAAGATGTTTCCTTGAAGCTGATCCTTACATAGATATTGATCAGAATGTGTTACACAGAACATACACTTGGCTTAAAGGACGTCAGAAATCCAATGGTGAATTTTGGGAGCCAGGAAGAGTGATTCATAGTGAGCTTCAAGGTGGCAATAAAAGTCCAGTAACACTTACAGCCTATATTGTGACTTCTCTCCTGGGATATAGAAAGTATCAGGTATTTCATCTTTAATTTAATAAATGAAAGATGGGAAATTCAAGGAGGGTAGGTCTTAATGGCTCAAATATATATGTGGAAACTTAAAAAGTTGCAATTTTACAACACATGTGAAATTTGAATTTAAGTACCTTTTTGCTTGCATTTATGGCCATGTTCCAAAATCTGAGGATAAAAACATTAACCCACTTTTTCAGAGTAATTAAGAAAATTACCGAAACGCTTTTGAATGTATGTATTTTACTTGCTATTGGTAAGATAAGTCAATACATGTTTTATCATTGGGAAAGTTAATTTCTGAGAGGAAAGAAAATTATTTAGAATTTGACAATGTGTTCTAGCCAGTTTAGGTTGTGAAGGATTTTTTATTTCTAAAACGTCATGGAAGAGTTACAATGTCTGTTAATTTAGTGTTGAGAACACCCATACCCTGAAACGTGTGTTGAATGGGCATGGATGCCTGGATGAGAATAAGTATGCATGGCAAGGTAATGCTGATGAGCTGAAGTTGGCTCCAGAGCTATCCTGGTGATTGGTGCCTTTACTGCTTACTGCTTACTGTATTTTATGAGATCACCAAAGCCATTCTTTCTCTTTATTAGGCCCCCCACTATTTTCCTTTTCTACTACTAGGCTTGTAGAAGCTAAACTTTTCCTAAACTTAGAGACGCAATACCAGAGATCAAATATAAGAAATATGTTTCTCGGGGAGCTTGCTGTCCTTGTCTGCGTTTATGATACCAAGTGGGAGAAACACTGGCAAAAGCTCTACTTTTTTCTTCTAAGGAATGACATGTGTTTACTTATAAAAACTGAAAAACAGTATTATTTTAAAAATGCATGGCAAATCTTTAAATGTCAATGATTATGGTTGATTTTTGTTTCCTAGGACAAGGTCAGGTACTACATAGATGCTGAACTTATTTTTTAAACAAATGTTTCAAAGTACTTTTTGTTTCAATATGTGATAGTGGGTTACTTTGAATAGTAAAAAATATCCTTTTTTTCTTCCAAGCCTAACATTGATGTGCAAGAGTCTATCAATTTCTTGGAGTCTGAATTCAGCAGAGAAATTTTAGACAATTATACTCTAGCTCTTATAACGTATGCATTGTCCTCGGTGGGGAGTCCTAAAGCAAAGGAAGCTTTGAATATGCTGACTTGGAGAGCAGAAGAAGAAGGTAATGTGCCAGGCCCATTTGAGGTTGTTATGCATTATGAAATAGATAACTTACATGAGAAAAATTTTTAGTCAGTTTTGAAATTGATTTATGCATCTTTTGATGAAAAGTAAAACACAGTGAGATCAGGATGGGCCTGACATGGCCATAATGCTTCTGGTCTCTCCCCAGGGCTTTTTTCTCCAGAATTTCAGGGCTCAGATATCTCTTTATTTTAGATATGTCATGCCCAATGTCAGTTACCCTTTGAGTGTCTGATACCATTTCTGATCTGGCAGCTTTGTAGTTTGCTAAGACCTTGGGTTCTGGAGAGACTTAGCTTCAAATTCTGGTTTTGTACCTTACCTTTATGAGGTTCAGTTTTCCCAACTGTAAAGTGGGAATAACACCTATTTTAGAGTTGCTGTGAGGATTAAATGAGATAATGTGCAATGCTGCTACATAGCAAGTGCTCAAAAATAGGAACTAAAAGAAATGCTAATGGAAAGAAATGTGAATCCCAAAAAATGCTGCTAGTAAGTGGATTATGTGCATTGTGTATATAAAGTGGACAACAATCTAGGGGTGTGTAAGAGAGAGATGGGAATGGGTGGGCAGAAATAAGATGATGTCTAGTGATTCCAACTTCTGTTAATTCAAGAAGGGATAATTGTAGAAAGTGTTTAGAGGCTTCTGAGACTGTAAAAAATATTGTATTAATAATAACTTAGATTGAATTCTTGTTACCTGTTCCAAAGCTGGGGACTAGAAGATTATTGCATAGAGGCTCAAGCAGTCTTTGACATTTTTTTCTTCTTGTCTGCTTGGCTAAGTGGTAGTTATTTAATATTCCACCTAAGTGTAATCATTATCTAAATAGTAATATTTGAGAGAGGGCACCAAGTAGGGTAGTCCTCTGGGGGATAGAGCAGAGTTATCTCTAGGAAGGTTGTTGAGTTGGTTGGAGTTCCTAATTTTTTTCTTGGAGGCTTGAACCTCAAACCTCTAACATCAACCTTCAGATAATAAAAATGGAAGATTCTTTCCAGAATATTAGAGCTAGTTGATGGCAGATTCCCAGAATAGGATTCTTTTCAATGTGTACTACAACATTTTGGGGATGGCCTGGTCAGATAAGTAATGTATGTTCTCTTCTGGAATATATTAAAATTTCCTTTTTTTAATAGTTAGTCTTGAGCCAAACATATGGAATTTCTCGTAGGAAAACTATTTTCATCAAAGCATCCTCAAATGTAGGCAGTGGGAAAAGGATGAAAATATGTAAGTATATAGGTTGAGCATCCCTAATCCAAAAATCTGAAATCCAAAATGCTCCAATGAGCATTTCCTTTGAGTATCATGTCAGTGCTCAAAAAGTTTCGGATTTTCAAGCATTTTAGATTTAGGAATGTATGTATTCTGTAAATATTCCAACAATTTAAACAAATCAGAAGTTGGACACATTTCTGGCCCCAAGCGTTTAGGATAAGCTATGCTTAACTTGTAATAGTTAAAAAAAGTGACATACTTGTACATGTGTGCATATGTATATGTGTGTGTGTGTGTGTGTGAGATAAGTAAATACATGTTTGGCATAAATAAATACCTGTATACAAATGTGTGTATATATATATTTATGCTAGTTAAGTACAGCTTGGACCAGAGTAGGAATATTTAATGGTATAAAATATAATTTTTCTCAATAAATGATCAGAACGTTATTACTTTTCTCTTGCAGGAGGCATGCAATTCTGGGTGTCATCAGAGTCCAAACTTTCTGACTCCTGGCAGCCACGCTCCCTGGATATTGAAGTTGCAGCCTATGCACTGCTCTCACATTTCTTGCAATTTCAGGCTTCTGAGGGAATCCCAATTATGAGGTGGCTAAGCAGGCAAAGAAATAGTTTGGGTGGTTTTGCATCTACTCAGGTGAGAGATGAGAGTTTTTTTTTTTCCCTTTAAACTATTCCCTTTAAACTATAGTATATAGTTTAAATACTATAATACTAATATTACATATATATGTATTATAGTATTTATATGCATCATAATATTACATATATATGTATTATAGTAATACTAATATACATTATATGTACATTAGTATTATAGTAAACTGTATACTATATACTATATGTATATGTGTATATATATGCATATATATACACATATATGTAATATTATATATGTATATATACACATATATACACATATATATATACACACACACACACACACATATATATATGAAAATGAAAGAAAATGAAAGTAGGATGAAAAATACTGAATAAAATAATCATTATGCAAAAGAATACATAAAAATCTTGAGAACTTTAAAATCATCTCATTAGAACCCCAAGATAATACTAATAGGACCAGAAATGGTTGTGTGCTTGGGTAGAAACAAACAAGTAAAAACACTGAAACACTTAACTGAAAAAGTTAAAAAAAGGCTATTATGGAGATGAAGTACTTTTTGGAAAACTATTACAATCATTCTAGTTGAGAGAACAGGTATACTTGGTGAGTACGGCAGGTATACCTTGCTAAGCAGGTATACCTGCCATATATATATCTGGAAGTGTATGGTTGCATATTTTCCTTGATTTTATAAAATTACTTGGCAGTTTCAAAGTTTAGTAACTTAAGCCAAAGGCTAAATTCACCAATTTTAATATTTTTCTCTTCATTATTATGAACTTTAAATCTGATATTTGTATGGAATAAATCAGTTCCCCATCTACATTTGCCATTTTTCATCTGTGGTAACTGATATAAGAGTAGATGCTCAGTTCCATACAGCTAATTTTTCTATTTTCTTTTCTTTTTTTGGAAAGGAAAAACTGACACTTTTAATTTACTGATAATATGATCATTTATGTGCAAAATTCCAATCTGCAAAAATGCTACTAGAATTAACAAGTGAGTTTAGCAACATTGTGGGATAAAAAAATCAATGTACAGAAATCCATTGTATCTATATATGAGCAATGGAAACTCAAATCAAAATAGCACAAAATGTGAACTATTTAGGGATTAATCTGACAAAAATAAGTAAGACTTGTACACTGAAAACTATGAAACATTTTAGCAAACATTTTCTGAGCCTCTCCTGTACTCTAGGCCAAGGAGATTCAAATATGAGTCAGGGAGCATTCCACTCTGAAGGAAGGTGGATGAATGCACAACAACAAAACGCTACTAAATTTACTCTTTGAAGACCTTGGTTTATACTTGTATGCACAAATGTTTTTCTTCCCTCAACAGGATACCATTGTGGCTTTAAAGGCTCTTTCTGAATTTGCAGCCCTAATGAATACAGAAAGGACCAATATCCAAGTGACCGTGATGGGGCCTAGCTCACCAAGTCCTGTAAACTTTCGGATTGACACACACAACCGCTTACTCCTTCAGACAGCAGAGGTGTGGACAAGAGGCAGTTTATTTAAAAATCTGTGTCGATGATTCTTTATGCTGGAGTACTGCTTTGTTTGTAATCTGTTGATTTTAACAAAGACTTGTTTCCAGAGCTCCGTAGAGGAGTAGGGAAGAGTGGTGCCCCCCTTTGGTTGAATTTGCGGAGCTCTGGAAGCGTGGGGAACTTTGGAAAGATTGGTGGAACAGGAGAAAACATGGGCAATGTAACATTGGGAAAGGAATGAACATAGAAACCTGCTGAGTTTCTATTCTTCACAGGCACTATGCTAGATCACTTTACATATGCTATCGCATTTACTTCTCAAAGTAACTCTAAGAAGTAAGTACGTTTATCCCCATCGTGCATGTGATAAAACTGAGGCTGAGAGAGGTTAAGTGACTTGCTCAAGATCATGTTACTAGGAACAGTAGAGCTAGCATTTGAACTCATTATTCCAAAGGCCATGCTCTTTCAGCTGTTCCACATGTCTTCTTAGGAGAATTGATAGAACTGGTAGTAGAATTCTTACTTTAACTGGAAGAAAAGAATATGCTAGTTTTTAACTTTATTCCCGTGGTCAATTTTGGGGGAGGTTGAGTACAATGGATGAAAGTGATAACTTCAGTTCTGGAAAGTGAGGAAGAGTGGTGATGATAAAGGAAAAGAAGCAATAAAGTTAGTCACAGTCATAGACAATATGTTATTGTACTTCTAGGAAAGCCAGGGAAGTAGGCCCTGATTAAGGGAGGTCAGGGGACGGAGATGACTTTAGTTTCTTGTCTTTTATGTTTCAACCCCAACAGGAGGACAGACTTGTAAATAGCACTAATGTGCCCTCCCATGGGCAGAAGTGAGGGAGCTTAGAGAGTGCACTTTTCCTGCCATCACCTTGCTTACCTGTTTGACTCATAGCTTTTGGTATGTGAGACAGTGCAAAGCTCTTAGTGCTGTCAGTGATTGCTTCTGCTCCTAATGAGGGATAGGGCTGATCTGTTTTGCTGCTTGGAAGGCTCTACATATGGAAAATTAGCTTCATTCACTTTTTTTTTCACCTTGATTCAGCTTGCTGTGGCACAGCCAACTGCAGTTAATATTTCTGCAAGTGGTTTTGGATTTGCTATTTGTCAGGTATGTAACAATGCTTATTTTTTTGAAGTTAAATATGACTTTTTATAATAATTATTTGATTTGGGGCTTTGATAAGTCTTTAACTTAGGTAACTTGAATATAGTTCTTAATGATATACATCTATGACTTAAAAAGATATATCACTGTCTTTAATAAAAAGTGTTAGAGATGTTGCCAGTCAGTGAGTAGAGAGCAATTATACAGACTGATTTTCTATTTGAAAAATATTTCTTGGAGATTATTTGCTTTTTGAAGTGAGGGTTAAAAATCCTCCAATGTGATTCCTGATAACAAACATGTGTTTTACTTACAATTTCTTAATATTCATCTGATAATATGGTAGAATTATTGTCAACATGGTAGAATTATTGACTTGAAGGGAGGAATTATGTTCCTTTAATGTAAAATCTTATATAATAGTAAATATAACAATTAGAGCATAATTATGTTCAGTGCTATGGTATAGGAAGAAAAATCTAAAGAAATTTATATTGGTATGGTGCAGCAGGAGCTACAAGAAAATGAAAGTAGGATGAAAAATACTGAATAAAATAATCATTATGCAAAAGAATACATAAAAATCTTGAAAACTTTAAAATCATGTCATTAGAACCCCAAGATAATACTAATAGGACCAGAAATGGTTGTGTGCTTGGGCAGAAACAAACAAGTAAAAACACTGAAACACTTAACTGAAAAAGTTAAAAAAAGGCTATTATGGAGATGAAGTACTTTTTGGAAAACTATTACAATCATTCTAGTTGAGAGAACAGGTATACTTGGTGATTACGGCAGGTATACCTTGCTAAGCAGGTATAATTTAGAAACTTCCAAATAATTCTAAGATTATTTTGTATGATGCTCAGAACACAGTAAACCTTTTTTTTTAAAAACTAAAGGAAAAATGATCGGCTGGGTGCGGTGATTCACACCTGTAATCCCAGCACTTTGGGAGGCCAAGGCGGGCGGATCATGAGGTCAAGAAATTGAGACCATCCTGGCCAACGTGGTGAAACCCTGTCTCTACTAAAAATGCAAAAATTAGCTGGGCGTGGTGGTGCGCGCCTGTAGTCCCAGATACTTGGGAGGCTGACGCAGGAGAATTGCTTGAACCCGGGAGGTGGAGGTTGCAGTGAGCTGAGATTGCGCCACTGCACTCCAGCCTGGCAATGGAGCGAGATTCTGTCTCAAAAAAAAAAAAAAAGAAAGGAAATAAAAATGATCACAGTGAAAAGGAATGGTATTCAGTGAAAAGGACAGAAAGAGACAGTGAATAATTTGTTTTGGTCTTTACTAACAAAGACTGCAGGAAAATTCTCATTCTCAAGCTTTCTTGCAATCCAAGAGTAAATCCAAAAGCAAATATTCAGTGTGTTCTAGATAAAACTGAAAAATTACATATACTTAAATCACCAAGTTGGTTGGGATTCATTTTTGATAAACTGAATGCAGAGAAATTATTGAAACCAAGTGATTTTTACTTGAGGCTTAAAGGACACAGGGTTAAACGTGGTACCTGATTGTCAGAAAGTTCACCAATCCCACATCAGTCTCAAAATGCAGAGGGACCAGTAGGCATTTTTCATGAGGGAGGAAAAAAATACAAAGAAGTTGGTCACCCAGAAATGGGTATTGAGATTTCTTACAGTTGATATTTTAATAAGTGCTCTGGAAAAAGGAAGGCAAAGAATACTCATGAGTTTGCAGTAAATATTACCCTCTTTCGGGTAATAAAATGCGAAACTGTTGGAAGTAAACTGCAAGATCTTTTGAAGTTCCCTGAGCGAGCAGTTGAGCTTTACTGCCAAATGTAAACCCTAATACTTAGTTATGGCCCGAGAGACAAATAGAGTAGTCCTCGTCTGTTTCCTGGCAGCATTGGTCTCTAAAAGAGCAGTTGTGTGCCACTGGAAAGGGAATGATGGAAATAATAGAGAGCATCTCTTCAATTTTATGAGACTATTCTTCAGCTGCTTCAGGAATACTCTATAGTTTAATTATCACACTTTAAGAAAGAGTTGATGAATGTCCAAAGTGAGATAACCAGAATGATCAAGAGGATGAAGGAGTGTATGAGTTTGGATTGTGGCAGAATAAAAAGATTGTAACTTTTAGATTTGAAACATGAAGACTTACTTTAGAGGATTTCTTTTTTAAGTATGCAAATCCATGAGTGATATTAGATGTTAGTTGTGAGAGGTGTGTGTGTATGTGTGTGTGCATATGTGTATATGTTTTAGGTTTAAGTTAATAGAAAATATAACCTTACAAAGCAGCAGTAAGCTTTATGAAACTTGTTATGAAAAAGGGGATGAGGTAGAGCATGTAAGTAGATTCCAACCCATCTGGGTATGAGACTGGCCTAGGAAGTTTTGAGTACATCCCTAAACTTCGGATTTAGGATCCCTTTGAGAAAGATGTGGGTCCTCAGGCTCCCCAGCTTGTCTACAGCACTTTTAACATCACTGATGGGTACCGAGTAGATGCTGAGAAAGACCCAGTTGACTTGAAAGCTGTCGCTTGTTTTATAATTTTTGACAAACCTATGAACAACAACAAAAAATCCTCAGCAATGTTAAACTAAGGCTCTTCAATGTTTTAGTTTTGATTTATCCTACTGAGAGTTTCTAAAGTTTTAGGTAGTAAAAAATGACCCCGTTTGGGAAACAGGCCTTAGAAATTAATGAATGCTCTCAAGAAAGTTTTTCCCTCAAGGGACTGTTTACCTTCTTTGACAAAGTATATCCCCAGATATCACCCATAGTGTTTTATTATTCTTGTTTTTGAATATTACTTAACAAATTTCTCCATTAAAAATTTTTTTTATAAATTGTAATAACATTTGTTAATAGTGATACTTTGTTAGCCAGTAAAATTAATTTTTTTTCAAGTTTGAAGATTAAAAATCTTATTGGGTCCGTCCAAAGAGAATCATTAACTAGTATAGTATTTAGAAGACATAATGATGGAAATTTATGTCCAATTTATTATTTATGCTATTTTATTTTTTACAGCTCAATGTTGTATATAATGTGAAAGATTTTGAGTCTTCTAGAAGACGAAGATCTATCCAAAATCAAGAAGCCTTTGACTTAGATGTTGCTGTAAAAGATAATAAAGATGATCTGAATCATGTGGATTTGAATGTGTGCACAAGGTAAATATCTGCTTAGGTCTCTCTTCTTTTTTCCTTTAAAAAATAGACTTGAAGATTCAATTACATATAGTTGTCTAACTATGTCAGTATAAGAAGTTATATTGAACAAAGAATTCAGTAATGCACCACACTTCATATTACAAACTAGAAATACTAATTATATTCAAGCATTTCTTAGATGCATACAAAATTTATTTATGTTGTCCCTGAAAATATAACAAATTTGAATAGAACAATGTATATATACATTAATAAAACTCAGGTCTAATTTAGGAAGACTTCAAATTGAGTCAATCATATTTAATACTCCAAAAATGGTTATTTCTTGTTAGGAGTTATTTTTCTGTTGAAATAATTATTTCAGGTTCATATTGAACTTTAACTGTTATGCATTTAACCCAAAACTTTATGATAGCAGGCAAATTCAATCAAGAGGATAGTTTTTTTTTTTTTTTTTTTTAAGATACATTGAAAATATTCCATTTTAGGAGGTTCACATCTTGGATAATCAGACACTTAACAACTGAAGTTTCTGGGAGTACTTTTTTTTTTTTTTTTTTTCTGGGAGTACTTTTTAAGTTGATTCTTAAATTGTTCTATATCAAAGCATCTGAGAATCTTGTTAAGTTGTAAGAAAGAAGGGTTCTACCTCAACCCTACTGACTTCACAGTAAGTCTGGGAAGCTGCAGCTTTTTGATCATTCTACTGCACACAAGAGTTTGAGCATACTCCTTGTGAATGTTCTTATAGAGGCTTCACATTTTTTTTCTTTCTTGAATCTATCCTGTTACATCTGCATTATTTGGCATTGAGCTGGGAGTTAAAGATGCACTGGCATTGAAGAGCTGCTGTCTGCTCTTCTAAAGTATCCCATAGCATCCTGATTTAACTTAGCTTATTGTTGGGCTAGAAGTCCCTGATGTGGTCCTGAGCTGGCAGGTGTTCTTCAAGCTCATCTCTGGGTGTACATCCTGGTGGCCAGCCTTCACAGCCATTGCCTGGACCCAGTATCTGCCATTATTGCTACTGTCTCTCTTATCTTTGGACCTTCTTGTTCTTGATTTTGGGTTAGAATGTCACACATTTGCCCCATTCTTCACCTTCTTGGGCATTTCAGGCCAGCAGCAAAGGGATATCAGAATCTCTGCAGTGGCATCCATTTTAGCTGAGAAGAAAATAGGACTCCAATTATTTTTTACTAATCTTGCAATTGGTCTCTGTTATAAAATAACAACTTCAAGTTATTATTATTATTATAAACAATAACAACCTATAGTAATTAGAAACTTATATGCCAGGCACTGTACCAAGCACTTTCACATGCATCTCATTTAATTCTTACAGTAAATCTGTAAAGTATGTATTATTATTATTCCTGCTTTTCTCAAATTCCTGGCCTCAAGTGATCCTCCTGCCTTGGCCTTCCCAAGAGCTGGGCTTATAGGCATGCCTATTCCTGCTTTTCTCATTCATTTATTTATTCCCTCAGCAAATACTGGTAGATTCTCTGCTATGTGCCGGGCATAGTGTCTGTGTGTCAGCTGTGGGAATATAATTGTAAGCCAAAAAAGACACAAGCTCTGCCCTCGTGGAAATTGGTGTTTGAGGGGGATACATAAATTAATGAAAAACATCCCCTAAGCAGGTCTAAAATTCTAGTTTTGAAAAGGGCAAAGAAGAAGACCCTCATGGAATTATGAGAGGGATATTTTTGCCTCTTAAGAGATACCAGGTGAAGAAACATGAGGAAAATGAGGTGGAACCAGGATTTAGACTATGAAGAGGCCTCAGCATTCATTTATAGGGGTTCATGTAAGGATGCAGGATTTCCAATCTTATCCACATGTCAGAAATCAGGTGGACAACAGAGTTTGGGTGGTAGGTAGAGCCTGAAGAAGGGAAATGTTTTCATGTGAGGGTAGGGGTTTTATAAAAAGGGTTTAAATGCTGCTACCAGTTTTCTGAGAAAAATCTGGTATGAAAGACAAACAACATTTAAGTGTATTTTTCAGCAGCACATTATAAAAAGACTACCTGATATTTCTGACACTTGATTCCTATCAACAGGGTCCAAGACCTTACGTCATACCAGTCTTTCTGTGTGGCATAATAGTTTAACAAATTCTGCCCCAGGCTGGTAGAGAGATCAGATCAACCAAGGCACTCTGAATGTTGTACTGAAAGTAGAATCTGCATTTTGCTTTTTAAGTATTTAAGCATATTGACTGTTTTTTCCCATCTGTAGTTTTTTCTCGTATGCAAACACCTCTAGTTTCAATCCATTTATTATTTTCAATAGCATCTATTTTTGCTTAGTGCATTATCAGCAGATGGTTTCAGTTGCTTTGGATTGCAGGGCCAGCTGAAGTCAGCAGTTGTACTGTGTGGCTTTTCAATCAGTCATGTTTGGTAAGCATGAGTTTGCTGCTCTAAAAAGCAAGATTTTTCTAACAGCCCATCTTGCTTTTGCTGTTTAAAAGGACAACAGTTACTAACTTTATGCTCTGATCCTTTTATATTGGAGGCAAACATCTTTCCTTAATCAGTTAGCTGGGCTCCTTCTGCTGCAAATGAAAAGCTCTTGCCATAAATTCATTTTAGAAAAATATTTATTTTCAAGGAGACAAAATGTTGTTGGTGCCCAGATCCTTTGATGCTCACATTATGTACAACGGGGTGAGAGAAGGATGCAGTGTAATAAAACTTTCCAAGGCTTGTAATTCCCTCACAGCAGCCAAAGAAAACACAAAATGTTTTTCAAGTATGTGAGAAAACAAAGGGAAGGCCTCTCCCTACTGGTCTGATGTTTCTAAAACCAGATGAATAAAAGGTTGCTAAGACCTTGGATGGGGCCTATCGCTAAGTTGTCAAGTCATGCCTCCCTCTCTGGGCCTGGCTTTCGGCTTCGAAGTTTGGTGCTGTCAACTTTTGAGAAAAGGAAAAATGCAATTCAGTTTGGAGTCACCACTAGAAAATAGAGTTGTCTGTTGAAAGGATGTATGTTGCTCTGCTACACTTTATCAGCGCAAGCGTGTTCCATTGAGGCATTGCATACTATCTGCCAAGTGAACACATTGTTGTATCATTATTTCTTACACGATCAAAACCTATAAGAATACCATACATGTAAGAAAATGATAACCTGTTTTAAAATTCTCTGTAGTGAAGTTTGTTTGAACTTAAACAGTATTTGGAATAACATTGGGTGGGTTTGATTTTCATATGAAGATAATTTGATAAGAGCTTTAGGTTTTTCCTGAGGAGTTTTCATTCACCCTCCCCTCTTTGATTTAGATTTTTGGGCCCAGATAGGAGTGGCATGGCTCTTATGGAAGTTAACCTACTCAGTGGCTTTATGGTGCCTTCAGATGCCATTCCTCTGAGCGAGACAGTGAAGAAAGTGGAATATGATCATGGAAAACTCAACCTCTATTTAGATTCTGTAAGTAGCAAAGCATAAAGTAACCGTTCACACAGCTACTATGTATTATGTTCAGATGTCTACCTTTAAGTGTGTTTTCTTTAAGTTGTTATTTCAACTTTTTGTGTCCCTGAATGAGTTCAACATGGCAACCATATATTTATCTTCATTAGAAAGACATAACTATAAACTCGGTTTAGAGAGTTGCTATTATTGACGAGGCTGGTGAAGGTCTTTAAAACTTAATCTCTATTTCACACCAGATGTGAAATACATAGAAATTTCCATATTATAATTTAAAAAATTCAGTCCAGATGTGAATTTGCGACCCTCTCTGTCTCAGGGACTTGCATAAGCTGGAGTGTAGTAGTGCAATCATAGCTCACTGCACCCTCCCACTCCTGATCCCCCCGACCTCAAGCTCCTGAGTAGCTGGGACGACAGGTGCATGCCACCATGCCTAGATAATTTCATGAAAAGTTCTTGCAGAGACAGGGTTTCACTTTGTTGCCAAGGCTGATTTTGAACTCCTGGCTTCAAGCAATCTTCTGGTCTTGGCCTCTCAAAGTGTTGGGATTATAGGTGTGAACCGCCATGCCTGGCTAGAAGACAAAAGCCTTGATTATACATTTAAAAATTCTTCCATGAAGATTTTAAGAAACCTTGAAGGGATTAATATTCTTACCTAAAAAAATTAGGTGCTAAATCATGGAAGATTATTCTCAGAGATTTGATCTTGACATATAATTATTATATAACCTTCATGTACTCTTTTTATTGCTGAATGAGTACTACTAATTCAAGCATAAGGTGCATACAATATGTAGGGAAAGGTAAGTGAAGAATTCCAGACTCTGCTTGGTATGTCTTAAAACTGGTGGCGTGTAAGTTTATTCATTTCTTATAGCATTTAGATGAGCTTCACAGGTTGACTTGATATTGAGTTCATAGTATTCTAAGGATTTCATTTTACATGGGTGGGTTTGTCTGTTTCTTATTTCAGTTTTGCTAAGTATGAATCAGAAATATATTGCAAAATATCTACTTTTAAAAAGATAGTTCCTGAATGTTCTCATTTGTCTTAGCTCTTCAAAAACACTTTGGTTAAAGCCCTGTTAAAATGAATTCAGTCTCAATGTAATGTTACATAAGAGTCTCTGGATTCTTTTGTTCTTTAGGAATTATCTTACATTAAACCCTGCTTGAAAGCCATGGGCCTGATTTGGAACTTGAAAAACAAATTTAAAGTTTTAATTTAGTAGTGTAATTGGTTTTGGAGTTGGTCTTCTATCTTTGATGCTCTTGTTAATGGTTATCTTAATTTGAGTGTCCAGTACTCTTTGAGTGGTCAGTTTGACTTTTCATTTACTGCTACTGGCAAATAAGGGAATGTTGGAAGGAATTTACTAATTTCTGATTCTTTAACTGGTGTTGTTTGCCAAATTGACAAAAGCTATCCCTCTTGGAGACAGACAGGCTGGCCTTGTGTACCCCATCTCAGTCTTTGGCTGTGGAGTACAGCCCCATCTTAGTTACCTCACCTACTGGGTGGCGTGCCTTGCGTGAGCGGAGGGAGATTCCCAGGAGAAGGAGGCTGCTGTGAGCCATTAGTAGTAACTGTGTGTGGGGTGCGCCGTTTGAGACAGGGGATGCACCCTCAGGTTTGCTGCTTACTTAACCACTCTAATTCTCAGCATTCCATTCAGCAAAATGGAACTAAGAACAATACCTTTTTGTAAGCATTGTTTTAAAAGTTAAATAAGAAAGTTCCTAGGAAGTACTTACTGCAGTATCTGACTTGTAGAAATCCTCCCTAAGTGTTAGTCTCTGTTTCTTAAAATAAGAAAAAGAAACGTCTTTACTTAATCATGAACACGCAGTGTGCCAACGCCTTAAGACTCTTTTGTATTTTTCAAGGTAAATGCAACCCAGTTTTGTGTTGATATTCCTGCTGTGAGAAACTTTAAAGTTTCAAATACCCAAGATGCTTCAGTGTCCATTGTGGATTACTATGAGCCAAGTAAGTATGCTCTGGAGTTCTTGATTCTTAGAAATTAAGCCAGGCATTCATTCATTTATTGGAAGTGACCACCTTTTAGATTGGTTTTGTGGCAAGGGCAGGGTTTGGTAGGAGAAAGTATAAAAGGCAGAGAGGCAGGAAGTGAGCATTCCATTTCAGTGAAGACTATTGATAATTTACAAGGGTCACATGAAAAGTTTTAGCATATGAAATTTAAAAATGATATATATTTTTTATAATGTTTTAAGTTTTTAACTCACAATTACAAACTTTACAAAGAAAAATTGACATAGAGAGTCTAGTTATGTTTCAGTTGAAGATATTGCTTCTATTCCAAGCACCCATTTCATTTGGTTCCAGCTTTAAAATGGGAGTTCTAAAAGCAGAGCTACCATTTGACCCCACAATCTCATTACTGGGTATATATCCAAAGGACAATAAATTATTCTACTGAAAAGACACCTGCACTCATATGTTTATCACAGCACTATTCAGAATAGCAAAGACAGGGCATTGACCTAGGTGCCCATCAACTGTGGACTGGATAAAGAAAATGAAGTACATGTACACCATGGAATACTAAATAGCCATTAAAAAAGAACTAAATAATGTCCTTTGCAGCAACATGGATGCAGCCGAAGGTCATTATTCTAAGTGAATTAATGCAGAAACAGAAAACCAAATGTCATGTGTTCTCACTTATAAGTGGGAGCTGAACATGGGCATAAAAATGGAAACAGTAGACACTGGGGACTTCAAAAGGGGGAGGGAGAGAGGTAAACAAAGGCTGAAATACTCTATTGGGTACTATGTTCATTATTTGGGTGACAGGATCAATAGAAGCCCAAACCTCAAGCATCACATAATATACCCTTGTAACAAATTTGTAGATGTACCCCCTGACTAGTACATAAATGAATAATAAGTAAAATGGGACTTCTTCAGAAGAGAACATGAACAGCGTCTGCAATGCAGTAGCATTGGCCGGAATTAGCTCTTTCTTCATTGAGGGAGTCTGGTGTTTTGCTGAAAACTTATACTTGATAACAGACTTTTAAAAGTGTATCAAGAAAAATATAGCCAGTTTGGAAAATAACTTGAGCTTCTTTGATTTTACTGGTAACTTCTTATTTTATAAAATGATGGGAATTTAGAATGTAAAAATAGAGAGCTGGTCTAGAGACGGCCCAAGTTTAACAGGAGGAATCCATGTTTAGTCAGAGTGACTTTTTGCATGTGATTTCTGGCCTAATGTTTCTAATGGTAATACGTCTTATTTTAAATAAGCACTTGTGGTGGTGCAGAATCATCATAATGATGAGAAGCATTACCATTTTGATGTGTTAGGTAGTTGTAGATAATTACACTTTAAATGAGATGAACTTGTTCCCATTGTTGTTAGTGCTTGCTAGAGTATTCAAGACGAAGGTGTAGCACCAGTTCTTTCCTCTAAGTCAACAAGCCAGTTCCTCTTGTTTTTTGGCACTGAGGAAGAGGATTCACCCAGGTTCTTGTGGGACATTTGGGAAACACTGATGTAGTACTTCTTTAGTGGAGGGATGGAATACACTGTGCAGACCCAATGACAGTAACTAGTTATCCAACTTGATTACTTAACTTAATTGAAAAATTCCCCAATTTATATTTCTTGGGTGCATGGGGAACATTTTAAACATTTACAAAACAAAAATAATTCAGTCTACAGAAAATTTTGTGGAAAGCAACTTATTTATGAGGAGGCCATTTTAAAATGAAAATTTGGGAAAGATCAGAATAAGCAAAACACAGAACTGGAAAAAACCACTTCAAACTTCATATGGAACCAAAAGAGAGCCCGCATAGCCAAAACAATCCTAAGCAAAAAGAACAAAGCTGGTGGTATCACGCTGCCTGACTTTAAACTATCCTACAAGGCCACAGCAATCAAAACAGCATGGTACTGGTACCAAAACAGAGACATAGACCAATGGAACAGAACAGAGGCCTCAGAAGCAACACCACACATCTACAATCATCTGATCTTTGACAAACTTGACAAAAACAAGCAATGGGGAAAGGATTCACTGTTTAATAAATGGTATTGGGAAAACTGGCTAGCCATGTGCAGAAAGCAGAAACTGGACCCCTTCCGGACACCTTACACTGAAATTAACTCCAGATGGATTAAAGACTTAAACATCAGACCTAACACCATAAAAACCCTAGAAGAAAACCTAGGCAAAACCATTCAGGACATAGGCATAGGCAAGGACTTCATGACTAAAACAACAAAAGCATTGGCAACAAAAGCCAAAATAGACAAATGGGATCTAATTAAACTCCAAAGCTTCTGTACAGCAAAGGAAACAATCATTAGAGTGAACCAGAAACCAACACAATGGGAAAAAATTTTGGCAATCTACCCATCTGACAAAGGGCTGATATCCAGAATCTACAAAGAACTAAAACAGATTTACAGGAAAAAAAGCAAACCAACCCATTCAAAAGTGGGCAAAGGATATGAACAGACACTTTACAAAAGAGGACATATATGAGGCCAACAAACATATGAAAAAATGCTCATCATCACTGGTCATTAGAGAAATGCAAATTAAAACCACATTGAGATACCATCTTACACCAGTTAGAACGGTGATCATTATGCTGACAGCATCTTGGCAGTGTCAACAAAATGCATGTTCTGCCCTGCTGTGCTGATTCTGATTATGGTGGACAGAGCCAGGTGTCCTCATTCACTGGAAGAGGCTGCAGGGGTGAGGGAGGAGGGCCGGGGGCCGCCCCTCCCTCCCAGTCCCTGCATGGGAGGGACTAATTAATACCTGGTTCATTGTGCAAGACCGAGTGGCAATTCCTCAAGGACCTAGAAATAGAAATACCATTTTACCCCGCAATTCCATTACTGGGTGTATACCTAAAGAATTATAAATTGTTCTGTTATGAAGACACATGCACACATATGTTCATTGTGGCACTGTTTACAATAGCAAAGACCTGGAACCAACCCAAATGTCCATCATTGATAAACTGGGTAAAGAAAATGTGGCACATATGCACCATGGAATACTACACAGCCATAAGAAACGATGAGTTCCTGTCCTTCATATGGACATGGATGAATCTGGAAACTATCATACTCAGCAAACTGACACAAGAACAGAAAATCAAACACTGCTTGTTCTCACTCATAGGCGGGTGTTAAACAGAACACGTGGACAAGGGGAGGGGAGCATCACACACTGCGGTCAGTAGTGGGGGGGCTAGGGGAGGGACAGAGGGGGTGGGGAGGGATAATGAGGGGATAAAGACCAGATATAGGTGATAGGGGGATGAAGGCAGCAAACCGTCTTGCCATGTGTGTACCTATGCAACAATCCTGTATGATCTGCACGTGTACCTCAGAACCTAAATTACAATAAAAAAAAATCTCAAAACACATTTACGATATGGACAACAATCTCTGAAAAACCATGAATAAATTAAAAATCAGAATATGTTTCCTTAAAACGATAAAACTCATCTGCGTTTTACAGTGAGTTTACTGTGGTTTTATAGGTACTTTATATAGTTTTTTCATGTTAGCTTTTAGATACTATATGCTCAGTGTTTTAAAACCTTAAAACAAGGTATTGCATAGGCACTCTTCCCTTCATATTTATGTATTTTTTACTAGAGCCCAGGGTAAATGCCTCGTTTCAGAAGTTCTCATGATTAGAATTTGATTTGAGTGCATAGAAAATGTCATCCTAAAATAAACTCTTGAGGAGGTTAAACAGCCCTCAACTGAAAATTCTTCCTGATGCCATGAGAGACTGAAGTGGGGCTTGCGATCGCAGTGTGCAGCTGCAGTCGATTTTCTCTCTTTCAATGCTCGCCAACTGCTGGTGGTCGACAGAGTGGACTGAGTGCATTGTTTCTCCCTCGGATTTGGTTAGTACTTTGGATCCCTCTTCAACATTTCAGTTGTTTCTTGTAAAGAAAAATAAAATTAGCTAAAGAATGGAAAACTCAGAAGAGTGTATCAAAATGCTCTTATGTTTTGGCAAAGTCAATGTTTCTAAACAAGGGAGCTGTGTGAACTGATGTCTGCTTCTTTGAACAGGGAGACGGGCGGTGAGAAGTTACAACTCCGAAGCGAAGCTATCCTCCTGTGACCTTTGCCGTGACGTCCGGGACTGCCGTCCTTGTGAGGATGGAGCTTCAGGCTTCCATCATCCCTCTTCAGTCATTTTTATTTTCTGTTTCACACTTCTGTACTTTTTGCAACTTTGGCTGTGATTTATTTTTAAAGGACTCCATGTAACACTAATATTTCCAGTACTCACATGTGATTGCTTTGTTTTCATAATCGAATATTGCTTCTATTTTGAAAAACAGTTTTTTTTTTTCCTTTCTATGGGGTTGGGGTGGTGGTGGTGTACAACAGGTCCTGGTGCGTATAGCTGTGTAGACTCCTTCACTTGATCTTTGTGTGGAAGATCAGAATGAATGCAGTTTTATGTCTATATTTTCCCCTTTCAAAATCTTTTAGGATTTTTTTTTTTGGAGCTGTTTGTTTTCTCCAGAATAAAGGTATTATTTTAGAATAGTTATTCTCCTCATTTTATGGAAGAAATGAACCTAGGTTCTTAAGCATTATTACACATCCATGTTTGCTTAAAGATGGATTTCCCTGGGAATGGGAGAAAACAGCCAGCAGGAGGAGCTTGATCTGTTCCCTTCCCACCTCCAACCTAACCCTACTGCCCACCCCACCCTACCCCACCGTCCCATGCCCAGTGGTCTCAGTAGATACTTCTTAACTGGAAATTCTTTCTTTTTAGAATATAGGTGGTAATTTTTTTTTTTTTTTTTAGTGGCATTGTCTTTTCTCACTGGAAATCTGATCACACACCCCAGCCTTTCCCCTCCCTCTCTTTTTCCTCTATAGAGAAATGCGAGAGGGGCAGCACATGTCCCTGGGCTTTGCGTGCCATCTCAGAGGTTGAGGAGCATACAAAAAACTGCCCTGGGGGGTGCTGGGTGTGCTCCCTTCTTCCCACATCCTCAGCCCCACACTGACTCTATCTCAGGGTGAGAGGCAGAGAGCACTGCGATATGTGCCTCAAGGGACTTTGATTAGAAGATCCTAGACCAGGAGACACTGTGAGCCAGGGCACAACAAAATACTAGATAAGTCACCGCAGACCGACCTCCCTGCAATTTGAGAAAGAAGCTGGGTTTGTGGAGAATCAGAGCATCTTGACATGACTGCTGTCCTAAAGATCTCTGGCATTGGACAGGGGTTCTGTGGAACCTCTTCTGGGCTCAGCGATCTGAGCATCAGGCTGCCAGTCATCTAGTGACATCTGATGCTTGCTGTGAACTTTTAAGATCCCTGAATTCTGAACACCTCAATTTTTAGTTGCCCTGTATTCTGAAGAGTAATATAATTTATCTGGATGGAAATTTTAAAGATGTCCCCCTTTCTCTTTCTCCTCGTTCTCTCTTTCTTTCCTTTCAATCTCCCTTTCTTCTTTGCCTTCTAAATACACTGAAATAATTTATATCGGAGTCAACAATTAATGATCTTTTACTCAATCTAAGAAATTGTTGAGTTTTGCTCTTTAGCTCATTGGCATTTCTCTCCAGTGGACACGAGAAAAAGTAATTGCCATGGGCTCCAAAGAGTTTGTTTTATGTTTTTAGTTTTTTAAAAATAAAACCATCAAAAAGAAAGCATGCAAATGTATCTTTTAAAGTTAATTTTTAAAAATGCTCTTATTTTAGTGAATTTTCAGAAATTATAGCGGAATGGATGGTATATATTACTTACGGATATTTTGGATACCATGGTAGGAATAACTAACATTCAATATTTTAAAGCTGTCAAACCTATATTGCAGAAAATAGATGGCAGAGAGTGGTCTATGAAGAGGGCAGTTAAGTATCAAACACCTAATTTTCTTGCATTTATTTTTACGTGGGAAAAAGTTTCTAGATCTCTTATACCTCTGACACAATGTTCTAAAACAGGCACTTACTATTATGGGGCCTCCTTGTAATGGTGTTTTTGCCCTTTATACTCTGGGGGTTCTTTAAAGATCAAATAATCTTATAAAAAAATTGGGGGAGGGTCTTGGCACAGGACTTTCTCATCCTCTGCCCTGGTCTGGGAACCTTATAATGATAATCGATACTTTATATTCTTTAGTAATTAATGTATAGTGAACTTTTGGTGTCATATATTAGGAAACACTAGGATGGAAAGGCCATTGGAAGAGAGATTATATCTTTTTTAAACCGTATTTCCTTCTTTAAAAACTAGCATTTAATACTTTTTTGGTGAAGAACTTCAGGTTTTCAATTTAAAAGTACCTTGTAACTCATCTCTTTTTATTGTAAGTTTGTTGAAAGTGAAGAGGACAACAATGAGAAGGAAGAGAAAGGGTCAGCTAGGGGCATTGGGCTGTGCAGATGTCCCAGCCACTTCTTCCTTCATACTTCCCTTGGAGAACTTGCTCTGCTCTAAGCAGTGGACTTGGACTAAAAGTGATTAAAATACCACAGGCATAAGGAGTATATGTAGTAGTAACGATCAATAATATAGATGATTTTCTTCACATGCTATGGGTAAGAATATTAAAAAACTCATTTTACCATTAAGATTGCTTATGCTGAAGTTCTTCCATTTAGAATACTGTCAATGTCATTTCCTGGTATGAACTAAAGCCCCCTTCTTCTCTACTGACTGGGAACCTTAAGACACCAGCACATCTCACCTCCCTTTCTGTTTGGCCAGTGCTTCCAGAGACTCCATGTTGGGAAAACCTAGTAGCCAAACACTTCTAGGACAGAATAACACTTTTATATTTGGTTTTACCATCTTACTACCTTTAGTTATAGTTTTAAAAAAGAAATTCAAGCCCATTAAAATGTGGCTGGTCAATGAAATTCTTCCTTTTATTATGCGGTTCTATTGTACTTGGTTTTTCAAACATTCTAAAAATAGTATCTTTGGCTTAATATTTTGGATTATATATTACAATCTGAGGAGCGTTTTGCTTATACCGAATACGATATATTTCTGTTACCTAGGAGTTGTTACTTACATATGCAATACTATCTCCTGAATGTGGTAATTTTCAGAATTACAGATAGCATAACTCTCCCTGCTTCTGTTCTTTTGAGTCTAGGTATAATTATTTTTTAAAAGACATATTTAGCTTTAATTTCTATTTATGCTAAATATAGTTATAAATAGACTGTCAATATAATTCCAACTATTTTTATTTTGATGTAATGCAGTTATTTCATTGGACATGTCTGGCTGACTCAAGACATTAAAAACATTGGAGCTATGATTTTTCTTTTCCAGTTTTTAAAAAAGAACCATTTTATTAACCTGCTGGCATATAATCTAGAGTTCTTTTGACAACCTTACTTTTTCTAATTTGCTTTATTGAATTATTGAATACTCATTTCTTTCTAAAAATATGTTGTAAATTCTCTCTTGGCACGATTTCTCCCTATGAGGGTAGTTATTTGAGTTTGCCAAGTGATTACTATGGGTCACGGTGCCATGATATATTCTTGGGTGCATTAGTTTTTTGCATATTGTAAATTTAAGACACTTATAGTAAGTGGACTCATTTGTGAATGGACTTCAGAACCTTTTACGTTCTCAGTAGAGGCTTCTGTTGGGCAGGCAGAAGAGTATATTGCTCACTTTTTTTTTCATCTTCAAATTCCAGTACGGCATAGGGCTTTTAAGAAATTAAAATTTTTCCATAATCTATTCAGATATTTATGTTAATATTAAATATGTTACACTGGGAGTAATTTAAGGTGCAATTATTTTATCACTACTTTGATTATCCTCTTCAGAAAACTAAGCAGTAAGTATAACTTTTAAATTAAGTATATGTCAGTGAGAGTAGGATTATTTTAACAACTATTTCTATCCAGTGAGTTGTGTTTTCATGTCTCATCAAAAGACAGCACCACATTGCATCATTTTATAAAATACATTATCATTTTCATTTCAATTGTAACCTAGGAAAATAGATATTTCCTGGATGATTCCTGAGTTTCTTATTGCAAAGAAAAGTTATACATTGGTATGCATGTGTCTCTGTAATAGGAACAATATTGATATATGTGTTGCTACATATTTAAGAATCATTCTATCTTATGTTGTCTTGAGGCCAAGATTTACCACTTTTGCCCAGTGTGTTGAACTGGTGGTAGAAGGTAGTTCCATGTTCCATTTGTAGATCTTTAAGATTTTTTCTTTTGATAACTAATCGAATGTTGCTCAATTCTGGTCCTTCAAGCCTTAATGATTTTGATTTTCAGTAGGGGTCAGTTGATGTGGAGTCAATCTCTTTTGTACACAGGAAGCTTTATAAAATTTCATCCACAAATTTTCTATTTTGGGAAGCTGTTTTGCTTTATTTGAAATATTATTTTTCCAGGCACTAAAGCTTTATATATTGATCAAGATTCTGAAAGTTTTAATTTTTAATGTTGGAATGTTATGTTATTATTAATTGTACTTTATTATGTATTCAATAGAAAATCATGATTTATTAATAAAAGTTTAAATTCCCATCTATTTATTATGTGTTCTTTATATTTTAGCATAAAGCATATCTATAGCACATTTCCCTTATTTAAGCTTACTTATGAGAAACAGGATGTCTGAGGCTAGCTTAGATTAGGTATTATTGTGTTGCAAGGGCTTGACATAAATGAAGTTGAAGAAATTTTATCACCAGCCTCCTTTACCTACCCTCCTCAGTGGAGAGGTAGGTAATACACACACACAAAAAAAAATAATGTCAGGTAAGCACTCTCTTAATTTCTGGAAATTATACAGAAGTACACAGAACACATAGTTTTTATACACACAGGAAAATGGAGGCACTGATTGTCGCATCCAGACCATAAGATTTCATGTGCGTTTGCTAAATTCCCACTCAGTGTTATTTAATACTTCTGTTGCCATGAATTTTCTGGGTTTCTGTGAAATACTAAAGATAACATTTCACAATTGGGGGTTCTCAACTAGAAGTGGTTTTGCCTTCAGGTACCATTTGCTAATGTCTGGACATAGTTTATTTGGTTCACATAATTGGAGATAGTGCTATTGTTGTCTAGGGAATGGAGGCGAGGGATGCCGCTAACATTCTGCAAAGCACCAGACAGCTCCTTACAACAAATAATTATTTGGCCCAAAATATAAAAAAGTTCCAAGTTTGAAAACCCTCTAGCTAAGTGATGCTGGGCCTTTCTAGATCACCTCATAATACCAACTGTTTAATATGATTAAGTTAATACACTCTTATACAAGGATAGAGTCATTGGAGTCACTGGACAGATCTTTAGATTAACAAATAAGTTTATATCCCAAGTCTAGGAAACTTAGCTCGAAGGCTGGGGAGAGATGAAGTAATTTTTTTTTGAAAATATCTGTAGTGGTAGTTTCCAAACTTGATAGACATCAGATTCTCTTAAGAGCTTGCTTTGACAAAAATGTCTGGCCTTTAAGAAATCTTAATTCAGCATATCCAGAATCAGGTTCTGGATCTGAATTGTTAGATAAAGAGGTGATTCAGATGATTATTTTAATCTGAGAACCACTGGATTATTTAATGAGTTTTCCAGGCCTCACTGGCCTGGGTATTAAAAGGAGTCTTGGAAATAGCGTCATCCATGCCATCTAACAGGGCCTCTAGCTTCCCAGACAGTCCTTCCCAGGGATTCCCGGAGGCCTCCAGGACTGTTTCATTCTCTCACAAAGGATCCCAAGAGCTGTCACCTGGGATTTGCTTTGTTCTTTCTCTCTTATCTGGCCCACTTTGTGGATGTTCAGTGTAGCAGAGACTGCCACTTTCTTCCTCCTCCTCAACCCCTTCTCCTGCTCCCTAGTTTCAGGAGCTCATTTCCCAGCCGCCTTTGCAGTAAGGTAGCGTCCCGGACCACGTTCTAGTCAGTGGGCTATAGGCTAAAGATATTAGTGATACTTGTGAGAAGTATCCTTAAAAGGAAGGGAGTAGGTACCTTGCTTCTTTTTTTAAATTTTACTTTAGGTTCTGGGGTACATGTGCAGGTCATGCAGGGTTGTTGCATAGGAGCATGCTATATCCGGCATTTCTCCCCATGTTATCCCTCCCCACCCTTCCCACCCCGCGCTGTCCCTCCCACCCCACCCCCCCACCACTGCCACCAGTGTCTGATGCTCCTCTCCCTGTGTCCACGTGTTCTCATTGTTCAACACCCACCTATGAGTGAGAACATGTGGTCTTTGGTTTTCTGTTCTTGTGTCAGTTTGCTGAGAACGATAGGTTTCCAGATTCATCCAAGTCCCTACAAAGGACATGAACTCATCATTTTTTATGGCTGTGTAGTATTCCATGGTGTATATGTGCCACATTTTCTTTGTCCAGTCTATCATTGATGGGCATTTGGGTTGGTTCCAGGTCTTTGCTATTGTACACAGTGTGCATGTGTCTTTATAGTAGTACCTTTTCTTCATCCTGCTGCCTGGATTGTGGATGATTGGCTAAAGCACTATCAGTTCAAGTTTTTTAAAAATTATACTTTAAGCTCTGCGGTACATAAATTTTTTGGTCCTTTACGGGGAAGGCCAAACCCTCAGGACTGGAAGCTGGAGAGCCTGAAGGAGCTGGGGTCCCTGATGACTATGGAACCACCCTGAACCACCTACCTTCGGATTTCTTCTGCAAGTGAGAGAACATCTACCTTGTTTAAACCAGCTGTGGTGGTGGGCAGGGCCCTAGGGTAGGCCCCATGACCCCTTCCTGCTGATGCTCAGGCCATTGTGGATCTCCTCCCTTGAGTGTGTGTGAGGCCCGTGACTTGCCTCTGGCTGTTAGAACATGGCGAGGGTGACAGAATGTGCACTAGATTGTAGTGACCCTCTTGCTGGAGTCTCTCCCTGCTTTTCTGGCTTTGAAGAAGTGAGCTGCCAATATCGGGCAAGAAAGCAGGAGAAGCTTTTAGGAGCTGACAGCAGCCTCCAATTGACAGCCAGCAAGAAACGGAAATACCTACAGCTGTAAAGAACTGAGTTCTGCCCACAGAAGTGGGTCCTTCTCTCGTTAAGCCTCAGAGCAGACTGCAGCCTCAGCGGATGCCTTGATTACAGCTGCAGGAGGCCCTAAACGGGGAGCCCAACTGTGTGCCCAGTCTATGACTCAGAGAAACCATGAGATAAAAGGTGTGTTCTTTTCTTTCTTTTTCTTCTTTTTCTTTTCTTTTCTTTTTTTTTTTTTGAGACAGAGTTTTGCTCTTGTTGTCCAGGCTGGAGTGCAGTGGTGCGATATTTCAGCTCACTGCAACCTCCGCCTCCCGAGTTCAAGCGATTCTCCTGCCTCAGCCTCCCAAGTAGCTGGGATTACAGGGATGCAGCACTGGTTTCTGGCCCCTAGTGCCTTTTTTTGCTCTTTCTTTTTCTTTCTTTCTTTCTTTCTTCTTCTTTCTTTCTTTTTTTCTTTTTTTTCTTTGAGACAAAGTTTTGCTTTTGTTGCCCAGGCTGGAGTGCAGTGGTGTGACCTCGGCTCACAGCTACCTCCATCTCCTGGGTTCAAGCGAGTCTCCTGCCTCAGTCTCCCAAGTAGCTGGGATTACGGGGATGCGGCACCAGGCCCAGCTAATGTTGTGTTTTTAGTAGAGATGGCGTTTCTCCATCTTGGTCAGGCTGGTCTTCAACTTCCGACCTCAGGTGATCCACCCACCTCGGCCACCCAAAGTGCTGGGATTAGTGTAAGTGGTTTTAATCACTAAGTTTGTGCTAATTTGTTATACAACAATAGAAAACTAATAACAAGAAAATAAGTGAAAAAATTAATTCTGGTGTATGCAGCTAATATTTCTAACTGGTACACTTGGTGTTGCCATCTTTTCTGCCATCAGGGAGCCTATAAACACATGAGCATTAGCCCTGGTACCCAGTACCCCTCTGTCCTGCCATTTCCATCTCTGTGCCAAAGATGAGCTGTGTTCTCTGGAGGCCTCATTGCTCCAAAGACACACTGAGTTCCGCAATGAAGTGAGGAGTTTTTCTTTCCCTGACTCTGTGCTATAGTGTATCTTTTTGTTTTCTTAGTAGGGCTGCTTGTGTCTCAGTGCTCACAGTCTCAAAAAAAAAAACACAAAAAACAAAAACAAAAACCACCTGGGAGGTGGAGGTTGCAGTGAGCCAAGATTGCACCATTGGGCTCCAGTTTGGGCAACAAGAGCAAAACTCCATCAGAAAAGGAAAGATAAGGAAAGAAAAAGAAAGAAAGAAACTAAGAAAAGAAAATAACACACATTTTTTATCTCACAGTTTGTCAGATATAGACTAGGTACGCAGTTGGGCTCCCTGTTTAGGATCTCCCGCAGCTGTAATCAAGGCATCAGCTGGGGCTGCAGTCTGTTCTGAGGCTTTTTAATGTTTTTAAATGAAAACTGTTCTTTTAATTTCTTCCTGCCCCACACCTCTCTCTCTCAGACCTAAGATCAGGAGGCTGTACCATGTGTCATGGGGTACAGATACTATACTGTCCTCCTAATCTCTCTTCTTTCTGACAGAATCTCAATCTCTCGCTCTGTTATTTCTCCAAAATCTTCAAGCAAAATTGATTCCTGGTAGCCCTCCCTGCCAATAATGCACTAGACACATTCACTTATAGATACTGATGGGTAAGAGCATGGGCTTTGGTAACAGGCAGGCCTGGCCTTGAGTCTTGTTAGAAGGGAGAGAGTTTTCTTTCCTGGTATATTGAGGTGGAATTTTCCCCTACATTTTCTTAGAGTCTCTCCCTTCATTTGCTCCATCCAAAAGGAGACAGTGGTTTTCTGCCTTGTCAAGTTAGGAAGAATGAAAAGGCAATGGTGGGCTCATCTCCCTCCTGGGTGCTACCCTGACATCATCCTCAGTTCCCCTGTGCTGACCTAGGACTTGTCTAGGCCCAGAGCTGCCTGCAAAGGTTGAGGAATTCTGGCCAAGAATGAGCTACAGTAGGAAGATCCATTGGATACTCACATCAGGTTATGCTCCCTTCCCCCACCCCCATTTAGCTTTTATCAGTAATAAAGTGAATATTTTGAGTCCTTCGTTTGTTGGCTTTTGTATACCAGATGGGGAGGAAGGATTTATTGCATATCTTCAGAAACCCCAAAACCTTCACCAGGAGCATGATCTTGGGCAGGTTTTGCAGTATCTAGTATATATTAGGTGCTTAATAAATCATGGTTATGATTATATATATGCATACACTGGTGGATACAGTTTAGGTGTTAGCTGTATATGTGTAACTTTGGGTAGGATGGAAGGGAATTCTATTCACTAGCTGAGCTACTGCTAAATGGTGGGTCTCTATGAGGCCCTGTAGCCTGTACTGATGTTACTCTAATATTCACAGTGGGCCACAGGTGGTACTTGGCTTGGGGATGGATTCTCCTCTCCTTCCTACTACTGCCTGTGCCATTCACGTTTAAATTTTTTAAAAAATTATGTCTTAAGTTCTGGGGTACATGTGCAGATCTTGCAGGATTTTTATATAGGTATATACATGCCTTGGTGGTTTGCTGCCTCCATCCCCACGT